GTGTGTGAGAGAGAGAGAGAGAGAGAGAGAGAGAGAGAGAGAGAGATTAATGCTGAGTTCTTGTCAGTGTGTAGGAGGGTTTTTTTCCTGTGTTTGTGGGTCTTTAACATGTAAAGAGGTTGCCCAAGTCTCTCTGTCTTTCTGAAACTCCAGGTGAATTTTATTAGTAGTGACACAACGGGCGCTTTCTCTTCAGTCAAGAGACAGTCTGAAGGAAAGGAACTTAGCCTAACCGTAGAATTGCAAGGAGGCTGGGGTTGTGGAAGGTAAAGGTCGTTCTTTTCCGATTGGCTTTTTTGAAGTAATAACAAATCAGGTAGTCCTCGTTTTTGAAGTTCGTTTTATGACAGCAGTTGATGTAGACTACCTCCCAATACGGCCAGCTGGCTTGCTACTCTTACACATGGAGTATGCGGACGTCTGTGCAGAGGGAGGAGCTATGAGAATATAGGCCAATACTTAAAAAGATGTGCCATGCACTTTGACTGCCCAAAGTCTCTCGGTACTGTTATAGAAAAGAAGAAGATTTACTATCCAAGGCTCTAGGAAGGCTTTAGTTAGGGTTATGTCACTGGAGGGGATGTCTTCACAGCTGCTGTCAGTTTAGGCCAACCAATCTTTGGTTGTGGGGGTCTTGCCTTCAGTTTGTTCGAGGTTTATTGCTGTATCGTGGAATATGTACTCCCGGTGGTCGTAAGCTATCTCTATCTCGATCCTGAAAGCCGTTCAGAAGAACAAGTTGTGGGGGGGGAATGAAAGGAGTGAAACTTTTAATGCTTTTCTGTTTATGCTTTGCTGTCTATTGTGGGCCCTCATATCATTCTGGGAAATGTTTGCTCTACCTTGACTGTGTGTGTGGCTTCTGACCCTCCCCCACCTACACATAAAAAAAGGACTGAAGAAACCAGTCCATGACTTAACATGAGTAAAATACTGGCTTCAATTCCTTGTATATTCAATAGAGCGAAACTTCCCCACTGAGCAAACATGCCAGTGGTACTCGAGTCGACTAAGCAAATGTTTTTGCATGCTGTATTGTTGGGAGCGAAGTGTCTACTCTGTATGCTGGGGATACGGGAATGCGTAGACATGGAGGAAATGTTCTTATGACTCTTTGTAACTGGTCGTTACCGGTGATGATTGGATTTGTTGTGTGATCAGCCAACTTGGTGGTAGCCATGGTGTGCCTCGAGTGCATTACAAGGGTCGTCAGGCGGACTACTATATCATGGTAAATTTGTTGTTGTTTTTTTCTTTTTTTTTGTAAATTTACATCGTCAATGGCCTTGAGGTATCGTTGTGAAACTGACCACTCCTAGGTAATTCAGGAATTTCGTCCATAGATTTGAACACAGGTCTGTATTTCAACAGTTTGTGTGTGTACCAACTGAGCTAGGCCCGTTGGTTGTCATTATGGTAAAAATAACTGTGTGGTTCTTGCAAACCTGGTTTTGTTGAAGACATTGCTGCTGAATTGTTGGCTCTTGAAACCACCAGTAGATGGCCACCTGGACCGCGGGCCTGACACCTCGTCTTCTGGAGGCCCGAAACGCGATGCCAGCCGTTGATCAGCGGTACCGACCGTGCGGGGGGCCCAAAAGTACCAGGGTGCTAGAGTGCAGTGGGGACGGAATTCTTTTCTGCAAGGCTGGGCCTGTGTACTGGTGGTCTTAACTCCTTTGACATGTGTGTCCGAATTGCCTGGATCTCATTGACAAGGAGGTCAAGGTGGTCCTTTTGCTGATGTCTTCCCAATCTCCTATCCTGCTTGTCTTCCCCTATGTTTGATGGTATATTGATAGTCTCCATGCCACTGGGAATGGCTGGGCTTTGATCAGCTGGGTTCCTGTTGGCCTTAGTGTTGGGTGCATCCATCCTATCGTGTAATCATTCCTGGCTCACTTCCACAGAAACTTGATTTGTCTTCTGGTGTTTATTGGAAGATGGGGTTACTCATTCTTGCCCCCCCCATGGCTACAGAAGTTTGAGTGGTGTTTGGGTGTTTGTGAAGGATGGGGGAGGTAGGGACGGAAACTGGGTTGCTTCCGGTATTATTACGAAATGCCGGTGTCAACGTAAACCACCAGCACACGGACATACGTCGGCCGGGGGCCCTTCACTATGACTTTTGCAGGCCGGTAACGCGACAAAAGCCATCAATGAATTTTATTAACTGCTTCCCAGCCCCGAAAGTTGCGGTGGTGGGGACCAGTTCATTTTCTGCAATGCTGGGGCCGTGTGCTGGTGGTTTGAAGAGCCTTTTGGAGCAAAGCAGTGGCAAGAAGGTTAAAGGCTCCAATGGAAGGGACGGTGAGCAATCATCCGACAGTGATGTCAGGCGTGGTTGTCCTGTTGTAATCTTGATCAGTTGTGATGAAAGGTGGCTGCCTGCCGTTTGTGCTCGTGTAATGTTATTTTTGTTGAATGTTATTCATATGGATGTACCAAACGATCTCTTTTGGCGCCTTAAAAGGTGTAAGGGAACATTCTTCGTAGAGTGATCTTGATGTGTGACCGTGTTTTCCTGTTGTAGTCATCATTGCACGGGACTCTATTTGATTCTTATCTCCATGGCTGTAATTTTCTCACTGGAGACTGATTTGTGGGTGTCATTTTCTCGGCTACTGTCCGCTCGGACTGGCTGATGGAAGTTTCCGACATTCCTTGATCAAACGATTCAGAAGCATTGCTGTCGTGCTGTTGTCTGGATGTAGTTGATGGATTGGCGTTCGGTTTTGCTCTTGTTGCACCCATTGATGACATCATGCATGGTATGGGGTTCAGTTTGCATGTAGCATTACGTTTGCTTCCTGTTTGGAAGCTTTCCAGTCTTCTTGTTGTCGGTTACGGTGCTTCGTTCTTGCTCTTGTTACGGTTACGGTTATTACTTGCATCATCATGCTCTCGACAGCACTGACGGGGTTGGAATTGCACGTGGCATTGTGTTTGTGTCCTGTTGCTCGTGACACTCAGGTGATGGACATGCTAGGGCCAAGTCTCTGGGACGTCTGGAACACATCTGGCCAGCAGTAAGCCCCCTTGTTACCGTTTCCGTTTTATTGTCATCATATTATGTCAGTTGGATGTTTTTTTTTTTTTTTTTTTTTTTGGGAAAAGTTGGATTGTTATAACGTCTCTGTGAATGGCAGTCTCTTTCTCTGATTGCTCCGGCCTCATCTCGTGCAGAAATGTCGTGGCATTTATGCACAAAATGCAGGTTCTTTGTAGAGCTAAATCCATCGGTGTCTGTTTACCTTATTGGTGTCTGTTTAGCTTATTGATGTGTTGTTGTCGAGGACGGGCCATCTTTAGGATGGCCCTGTAAAGTTTTTGTTGTGTGTCTTGTGAAATCCAAGTATTTTCTGGTGGCTTAAGCTTGGGAAAGGGCATGCAGTACTGCCTGCCTGCACATCACATGCAGGCAGGGAGAGTCAAGGGTTATGGTACGTGGTCGAGGAAGCGTGGAGCTGTTTGGTCTTTTGATTGCAAGAGGTTAGAGAGGATTTCAGAAGCAGTTGAGCGCACTATGATTGGTGTCATTGTGGGACTGACAAATAATGGGAAGATGAGTGCTAACGAGGTAGGAAAATGCAGGTGGGGTGGGATTGTGTGCACTTGGGGAGGGAGAGGGCGTCAATGATGCATGTACTATGGAAACTCTGAGGCCACACTTGGTGCTGGCTCGTGGAAAAAAAAACAAAAGCTGAAGTTGTTCCCGGCTTGTCTTTGTAGAGGCAACTTCGTTGCACTTAGGACCGCCTGTGTTAATGCACCACTACCTTTTCCCATGTTGGCGTCGGGTGGGCCTCCGATCTCTTAGGAGGCCGAAACAACAGTGGCCGGCATCGGGCCCTGCCCCCGATTTCTTAGGAGTATTGGCATCGGGCCCTGCTCGGCGTCGCCCGCCGTCGATAAAATAAATCGACAGCGGGCAGCCTCCGAGAGAGGCCCACGGCCAATGGCTGGCATGTACTGGTGGTTTAAGGGTCTTTGTTTTACATGGTCAGTCTCCTGTTAGCAAAGAAAATCGTACGTTAAACACAGGCCGCGTTGACGGAGATTTCATAACAGCCTGTGGAGTAGTCAAAGTCTCTGAAGTACTCCCCCTTCTTGTTTCAGTGATGGTGAAAACTGCACCAGGCTAGAATGTCCCAGGCTGATATGGTTATCAGTGGTGTTATTTGTATGTCGGTGGCTGAGTAATTGTAGTATGTTCAATTTTCAATTTTGTTGCTTTGATGGTGTTCTTATAGTCAGCCCGTTTGTTAAACAGTGGCCCAACCAACCTTTTGTGCGTATCGTCGTTCTGTCCCTTGACATCATACTTCTGTGTGTCGCCTGTGTCGAAGCAGAATGTCTCCGGAAATGGTCGCGTGTATCGCTGTGGAGGCATTGTCTATTTTGGAGAACTTGCATTCAAAGGGGTGAGTATCGGTTACTGTGGTGTTTGCCAAGCAGTGAGCGGAGTGGGGCGTTGAGAACTAGCAAATGAATTGCTTTCCCCTGGGTTCAGTCCTTCTCTAAGGTTCTCCAGCATATGCATACCCATAAATAAGTAATTGTGGTTGTACACGTCGTAAAGCTGTTGCTTGTTGATATTGATCTGGACTTCGTCAATCATGGAGAAGATTAGCATGGCCCCTGCGCAATGATGACAAACATAAATCGGGAAATGGTGGCTGGGGATTGTTGAGCAGCTTGGATCTTGTGTTTGATATGTTGGAAGTCCCTGTTAATAAATGTGTTGAAGTGATGCCCATGTGCTTTATTTTCAGATATTATGTTTGCAGTTCTGGCTGGGGATTGTTCAGTGGCTTGGTTCTTGTGTGTGATATGCTGGAAATTCTGGATGTATTTGCTCTGTCATGAATGTGTATCTATGAAGTGCGCCATAGGATCTGGAGCTGTTTTTATCTGTCGAGGTCCCCTTTTGTTTAACGTGCTTTGTTGGGAACAAAGTTCATTGCATTGCATTATATTATTGTGAGCATAATGGCTGTGTGACATTCAGATATTTAGAAGTAGTCCACTGGATTAGTTTGCACAGACTCCATAGGGCGGGCAAAGGAAACAAGGACGACTCAAATGCTACTAGTACTTAATGCATTACAACAAGATTGAGAATATACGGATGCAATTTTTGGTCATGAAGGGGCAGAGATGGAGGTAATGGGAAATGGAAATACTTGTGACACCTTTTTTATTTCCTTGGGGTCTGATGTTGTTGTGACTGTCGTTTCGTGCCTGCTGCAGCCGCTGTTGTTGTTGTTGTTGGTCTTCTCTCTGCACGGGACAATGTTGTCATTTGCCACTGACCTGTGATCTGGACTCTGTGGACTGTCTCGGCTGCCAACAGGTTTGTACATGGGGATGTCAAACCAGAGAATTTCTTGCTCGGTCCTCCGGGAACCCCAGATGAGAAGAAGTTGTTCTTAGTGGACTTGGGCCTCGGTATGTTGCGAGATCTTCCATGCTCCTGTGCACTGTTCATATTTCCTCCTAGCACTTCAATGGATATGGTTGGTAATGCCAACCTGGTGTCATCCCTTCCTTGGCCTTTGGTTCCGTAAACCGGGATTGCAAATGGTATTCTAAAGAGAAAACTCGTGCCACAGTCATACTGGTGTTAAACCACCACTCCGAACGAAGCTAAGTTGTCGAACCAGAAAGTGCTTTCTGCCTAGCCTGCAACCTACAGTGCACGTTTTCGGTGCCATTGAGGGAGGCAACAGTACCAGCCTACCTTGAAACTGAAGTGCTGTATCTCGTGCCAGCACAAAAGAAGGGGAAAGGGGAGAAAAAAGAAAGACCAAGGGAGAAAAAAAAAACTAACTAAATGGAAATTAATGATGACGGGGAAGGCCCTCATGAAGAACGAACGCACACTAGTAATGTCCAGAATGCATCTGTTTGTATCTGACCGCTATCGCGGCCGAATCTTTTGTTTTTTTTTTTCATTTTCTTTTGTTTCTTTCTTCCCATCCGCGTTCTGGGGAAGGCCCTCATGCAGGGGGGGGGGATACACGCATACCTATTTTCAGAATGTATCTGACCACTATTACATCGGAATCAGGCCAGCGAACGAGGTGGGCGTTCGAACTCCGAAACTTTGTTTTCTTGTATTTCTTTTTTCTTTTCTTTCCAAGATGAGTGCCCTGTCAGCGAGGCAGGGCGAGGCAGGGCGTCTTCGGGTGTTATGAGGAACTAGTGTTTTGCCCAGCCCACTTTCTCTTTTTTTTCCGATCCTTTCCAACTACACCAGCCCCTTCTATTCTGGGGGGCATGAGTTCGGCTGTTTATCACCGGCAAGCACCGTTTTTGATACATTTTGAAACAAGCAAGGGAGGAGAACAGACAGAGAAGAGAGACAGCCTGCACTTGTGGCTTGAGCCGCCTATTCAAGGGGGGGTTGCCACAGTGCCAACCCCTCCCACCTTTTGGCCTTTCCTTGGAGATTGTCCTGCAGCACCCAGTCACACTGCAGGATAAGGTCCAAGGGGTCAAGGCACAGGGGGGAGGAGTGCCCTGCCAGCCCCTCTGGCCGAATGTTACTTGCTCAACTCATTTCCACCCTAATTGCCTAGGTTCTACTCTACCTCGCTTTCCCATCACATCTACATTCTTAAGACCTTCATGTCCTAACTGTCCACCATCTCCTGCCTTCCAATTTCCTACATTCTCTCTGGTCTGGAGTCAACCGGCATACTTTTGTTGTGCCAACACGGCGAGAGGAAGAGAGCTGGACCCAAGGGAGTATGAGAACTGGTTTAAGCAATGCGACCGTTTGGCAGACCATGTTTGAATGGACTCATCCTTTGTCCCTCCCTGCCTCCCTGCCAGGTCGGGTGCAACCGCCTTGTTCGTGTCATGAAGACATGGGAGAGTCGGCATACTGTCTTTCTGCACAACAGGCATAGGGTGAGTGGAAAGATAGGAAACAAAAGCAAGCAGGGAATTCGGCGAGGAAAGGTCGCTGAGAGGTGTACAGCTGGCTTCAACATCTGTAGTGCTGTGTTGATGGGAAAGAAGTGGGTGGTGAAAGGAGGTGGTAATGGCTCTGCTAGAGTGTACATGCATGTTATCAAGTGCTGGGGACAGGAGAGCATGGGAACATATTTAAGAAGTGCGACAGCTTGGCAGAGTGCGGGTGAACTCGCTCATCACTCGTCCGTCCCTCCCACGTCTGGAGAGAAACTGCCTTGTTTATATCATGGAGACATGCGACAGAAGAAAGACCGTCTTCCTGCACAACAGGCATAGGAAGAGCTGAAGGATGGAGAAACAGAAGCAAGCAGGGGAAGATGGGCAAGGAAATATAGCTGGGGGGTGCGCAAGTGACATCAGCATGTGAAATGCTGAGGATGATGACAAGGAAGAGGAGGTGTGAGGAGGTGGTAGTGGCTGCGCTGGAGAGCACACGCGTGGGCTAGGTAGGTAGTTCATGTTCAGGTGTATATGCTTGGGTAGTTGCAGACATAGACAGACATGTCCATGCACACAAATGCAAGCAAACCTAAAGTGATCACACCTGCCCACAAGGAGGGGCCCAAACAAGCATGCGGCGTTGGCACACCAGATGCTGTGCGCTCATTTACAGAAGGGCATGGGCAACAACAAAGGCATGCTGACATCTACCTGTTATGAACTTGGTTGTGTGACGATTTTTACCGCCACTCACACACAGACAATCTCATACACGCCCACAATGCATAAGAGAAGGGGGAGAGGAGCCAGAGTCCACACTGCACACAGATCAGAGTAGGCAGCGGAATACAGCTATGCACAGATGGGGAGAAGACACACAGTGTTTCTCTCTCTCTGACAAACTCCCAACAACCAATCACAAGTAGGACCTGCGAGGATAACAATTGGAATTACACTGATGATGAGCCAACTCAAACAATTATCGTAACAGAGTTTGTTCCAGTATCTCGCCACTCTCAGAACTCACACCCCACTCTCTATCCTACACCCAGTTAGTAGCGCCACATCAGAATGGCCTCCCAGAGGCCAGCGCCAACCACCCTGATGAAGAACAGGTYCTKYGATGAAGTCTTCAGTGCCGATGGACAACTCTGACGAAGGAACAGGCAGCTATGGCTGCCACCACCCACGAGAACACAGTGTAGAGCCTCGATATAGCCCGGCCAGACGCAGATGCCCCAGGGGTAGATGCGCTGAGGATGCCCCAGCTATGGCAGACTCAGGCTGGGCCGGCTATGGCTGCTGTCAACGGCGAGGTCTCAGGATGCCGCCTGCAGACAAACACCGCCACCAACTTGCTTGGCTTCTCCAACGCTGCTTCGCGAGAAGTGGACTGCCAAAAGTCCTGAACCGATGGGCGTAACCTATCTATAGACTACACTAGACCTAGACCGGACTGACTGACCGACTGGTACCGTTTCTGTTTCGGCCTCTCGGCCTCTACCGGACCTGGCTATAGGCTAGAGGACCGTCTATCAGTATAGGCCACTTAGGGCCTGTCTGTCCTAGGGGTAGCCCGGGCCTGCTATTCGCAGTTAGGGTAGTAGTAGGAAATTCAGTTTGTGTTAGGGCTATATTTCTCCAATTTGCAGATATGTCCCTCACGAATTTCCTCACGGTTAGGTCTCTCGGTTAGCCGTCAGCCAAACAAAATTACGAATCTAACCCTACCGGTTAGTGTACAGCCTCGCAGTCAATCTCGGCAGTCAAAATCAGCAAGTCATTGCATACCCAGCAACTTGTGTATATGCGCCCGAGGCAAAGCACCTGCTTGTGGGGAAAAGAATGGAGTCGAGGCAAATGAGAACGGATAGGAAGAAGGCCAGTAAGTATGAGAACATGATAAGATTCGAAAGAATCAAAATAATAAAACGAGAGGGAGAGTGGGAACATGCACAATTGAATAATGAAGCCGAGTCGTTTCTGAAGTGAAGCAGGATTAAAAGGAGTTCCAGGGCAACGAAACAAAGCCAGCAGTGTTCTGGTCTTTGTGCTGGAATAGACACCCACCCACACTTAACAGGCACGTACAGACCACAAGTGCAGATACAATCTCATGCAACACATTCTCTCACATAATATTTGACAAAGAAGAGCACTGACATGTGGAGCCAGAGGCTGGACATCCCGAACACAGCAAAAGTACATTTGCACCAACTACCCTGGCGCAGTTGGTGCGCCCGTGAAGTATTGAAATTGCAAGGAACACAACTGATATCAACGCCAGACCCCACTTGCAGCACACACAAAACTTGCAGAATGTACCGCTATGGCCGGGATCAACAGCAGGGGGCCTTCACCCTCTCTCCCTCTCTCTCACCCTCTCCTTGGTAGGCTCCCAATGTTTCAAGCGCTCAACCTCGTTTGCTCGATGTCTCTCTTACTCTGAGTACTTAGACCACTCCCTCTCACTTCCTGAAAACACTCATTTGCTGACTAACTTCGTCCCTCTCGACCTTGCAGCAATGGTTGCGTAGTCTTCCTTGTCAACCCTAACTATGGCGCCCAATTGACCTTCTCCTTCGTCAACGGAGTGTCCAGCCACTCAGTCGCACAAGCGCTACAGTATAGCTTCCACAACATTCAAACTGACAAGTGACCCAACGAAGCACTGTAGCATCTATAAATAGCAGCTGAAGTGAATCGGTGTCGGCTCCGGACTGGTACCGGTCAATGCGGCCTGTGGGCTGCAGTTTGCCAGTTCTGGAACTTACTGGACTTTCCCAGGATGCTGCTGCAATAGTGGACTTTGAGACTGCAGACTTTTTTTGTTGGGTAACCGGGCTGACGGCTTCTAACGACTTGAACAACTGGACCCTGTGGACCATAAAAAACCCTGGACCCTGCACCTAGGCCCTACCGGACTCTAAGAACCCTGGACTTACCGGACCAACTAGGACTGGGCCCAGGTGGGACTCTGGGACTGGGACTCGGGACAGGGACAATGTGTGAAATCCTTTCAACCTGGATACCTGAGTTCGAATTCCAATTGAACCAGATGGGCGAAAATAACTCCGGATTTACCTGGGGCCAGTCAGTTTGAAGATGGTATCTCACCCCGTCGCTCTTTAACCACTACCTCCGAGGCTCTCTTTGCTGAGGCCGAGAAGAACTGCACGGCAAACCTTTGGCCAAAGCGCCAGCACGACCTTTTTCATTTTGTTTTGGCTGGCGCCATCAGCCATTTTGGTCTGGTGGCGCTGGACTACACCGGCGTCCGAAGAATCCGGTATAGGTTATATTTACAACTTAGCTCTATGGCCCGAAAGTTAGCGGTCATTTAAAGAAAAAAAGTGTCTGTGGGGCGTCAACATCTTTGACGTACATGCTTTCCCTGAATCCCGCAGGAGTGCACAGGGGTTACGGGGTGGTGCAGCAAGAGCCTGGAGGAGGCTGGCTGCAGCCACGTAGACAGACTGACCTGCACCCTTTGGTGAAAATCGCAATCGCAAGAGCCTGTTGCAAAACAAAACAATTAATTTGGGAGAAGACATTGATAACGAATCACTTGCCGAAGGTGCATAAGCAAAGGTTCACAACTGGATGTGCTGTGAGGATTGCTATCTTACACATACTTTCACCTTTGCCTGCCTCACCAACAGAGTTCCATGGGCTGTATGACAGGAACCCTGATTGCTGTCCATATTCTTTACAGTTCTGTAGGGCGCCAGGAATTCCTCAGAGACTGGAGATCACTTCCGATAACCCTCATCAAGCCAAGTGGAATCCCTGTCACCATGTCTTGGGGAATAGCAATATCATCAAATTTGAAATTTCCTTGGAGCCTATTTCCTTGTCCCAGAGAGTCTGATCTGATACCTATTGGACATGTCAGATAAGGCCTTGTAGAAAGAACCTATACTGGGCCCCTGAACTGTTGAAATACAGGCCCAGTTCGAACTCCACTTCAAGCAGATGAAGTAGATGAGTGTAATGTTGCAGATTTGAATTACGTTGGGCCGGTCAGTTCAAATAATGTTATCTCAAGGTCATTTAAAAGAGACGGATAAAAAAGTTTGCTAGCCCTGAAATTGACCTGGGACTGCAGTTCCAGATAAAACAGGACGGAGTAGTTGGAATGCCTGAGTTGCCCAAGTGTCATTTCTGTGTCTCAGAACCTGGGTGCATTTCAAAATCAACGATCTCAATTTTCCATGGGCCCCCTTTTCCAACGGAGTCCCAATGATTAGGCCCGTTAGCTGGCCTGAGCATGTTCAATGCTGCATCCGACCTCGTAAAGCAGAAAAACTTTGTATTTGTTTTTTTGGGCGGTGCCTGAGACAAATTAAGGGGGTGGTTCAGCCCTTGAACTGGTCCAGGCAAAATTCACTGCTGTATGCGCCATGGAATGCCACAGCTGAATGCCGACTGACACTACCAATTCTGTTTCGGTGCCTCTGGAAAAGGGCCCATGGGGCAAGTAGGCTCTCCTTTGCGAGAGAGAGAGAGAGAGATCGTCACAGTAACTGACCCCAAGAACCGACATGACAGTGGTGACCTCCAGCAGTGACTATGGAGTACCTCACCGCCTGGAGAGAAGCAATTCCCGGTCCCTCCTTATATAGCTCTCCTTATTTGCGATTCCTCTCCTTGGGCTCCCAGGTGGGAGTCCCTGCTGTACTGCCTTTCCTGCTCCCCAATCTTGATCTACGAAGGCTGGTACCTCGTACCTCTAACCTCTCCTTCAGCTGCTGGCCACAATCCTAGAGAATAGTGATGCTCAAATGATGGTACCATTGTGTCATGGGAACCCATCAACCTCGTGCAAGTAGAACTTCAGGTATGAGCCTTCAGCTACTGACAGAAGTGAGACCAGACAGGACAAACCTCCGAACTTGCAGGCAAACACACCTGGAAAACACACTGAACCATCTGCGAAATGAAAAAAATCTGAAGACTTGGCTCGGATTAAAAGGGGCTAAATCCACAATGATGGGCACAATCGAGTGGAAGGGGAAAATAAGATGCCCATGTGCTACTAAGATACGCAGGTGCTAGCCTAAGGTGTACCCTTTGGACATTGGAGAGGTCCTATAATTAAAACCAACCCTACACCACTACCTGACAACTTGCTACGTAACCAACTGACAGCCCTGGTCCCTTCCTGTGAAATGTGTCAAGGCACCCCCTGAGGCATGTAACAGCTTGTGCTGTGAGGACAAATGATGCAAGCCACATCCTTGCATTTGAACCTGTTGCCTCTTCGCATTACAGTCAATCACCCTTCGTCTGCCTGTGGACTTGTGAATTTGAGATTGTGTCCTATTCTCGACTTGTGTGTAAACTTTGTTGCTCTCAGACTTGTTTTTTTCTTTTTTCTTTTTCTAAGTTTGTTTCCTCTATCCTTTTGTGTCAATTGTGAATGATGCACGAGGATTTTTTATCCTCTGTGCTGTATTGCCTATCATGATGTCAGCAGTGTGCATTAGCCAGAGATGCTGTTGCTGTCTTGATCTGTGCCCTGTCTGTTATCGATCCTGTTATTCGATGCTTACAGTCTGCTGGCTGATGTGGTTAGATCGTGCAGATGGTGGTGGCTGTGGGTGTACAGAGGATTGAACTCTTGCTGTTTTGTCGTCAAGTTGTCTTTGCGGAATAACTTGGTGATATGCTGTAAGCGGTGGAAGGCAGGAATCAGAAAACAAATTCCACTTTTCTGTGTGCGTGCAGGTGCTGATGCATGCTGTCCCTCTCTGCATGGATCGCCCTTTGGATCATAAAGAAAGCTCTCAGGTCCCTGCTAGTGGACCAGTGCTGTGAAAGTGGCTGGGGAGGCTGTACCTGTGCATGGTCCCTGCTAGTGGACTTCAGTGTTGTGAAAAGGTGGCGAGAATACTGGATTGGCGGGGCATATGTTCCTCTGGCTAAAGAAAGCTCTCAGGTCCCTTCCACTGCCTCAATTTATCGACTGCACCCTCCTCACGACAGTGGATATGCTCTGTGCTGGTTCACGACAGTGGCTATGCTCCATGGTGGCCCTCTATAGCCTTTGTGGGTAGCAGGCCAATGTGTGCGATGCGCAACTCTGTGGATGACCTAGCAGACCGCTACATCTTGCGAGACCGGGGACCTTGCCCATCTGGACCGGTGTGAGGAACATGGAGCAGCCGATACATTGACACACTGGAGGGGACCTGAGCTTTGCGTGAGCAAGAGAAAATAACTGAGAAGCTTGCAGACCCAGGCTGGGCCGTTTCTACCCTCAGCCGATCGTTATCCATTAGTCTTAAGTGAAGTCGCGAAGGTGGGCTGCATATGAAGCTAGACCCTAGAGACTTTGCAGCACCTCAAGGCAGCTATTTCAGGAGTGAAAACGAGGCAATAGCATTGGTATCTTTGGCATGCGTCGGTATCTTTAGCATGCCTATGGGGTCGGGTATCTTTAGCACGCCTATGGGGTCCGGTATCTGTAGCATACCTGTGGGGTCCGGTATCTTTAGCATGCCTATTGGAATCCATAGTAATCTTCTTGCAGTTGATACTCTTGCATAACATCAAATCTCATTTCAGAGAACTGGCTTCCCAGATTTGACCGTGTTTTTTTGTTGCTGACTGCAAATGGAAATTCTCTTTCTGTGTGCTGTCCTTGTGTGTCCCCCTTTCCCATCTGTTGTTGTTTTCCTTGTGATATGCTCGGTTGGCTGGTCTCGTGATGCAGCCACAAGATGGAGGGAGCCTTCAAGCCTTGTACATGTGGAGTATGATCAGCGGCCTGATGTATTCAGGTTTGTCCCTGACAAGAGTGCGCATTGATTCATATTAAACAAAAAAGAATTTAGTCTTTTCCCCCTCCAAACCTTTATGAACTAGCTCAATTGGTATGCATACTTGGTGCCGTTCAGGAGGTTGTGGGGTCAATCCTCATAGCCGGCTGGGGTACCGCCTGGTGCCAACCAGCTGAGATAGGCAGCTGGATCCTCCCGGTTGGTATTAGTAGGGTGTTCATCCAACATGGGTGTGAGGGCCGCATGTGTAAGTGGGTTGTGCGTGGTGTGTGGGAGAGTATTGGTCCTAGACTGTTGTTACTCGATGGGGGAGGGAAGGGGAACATAAAAAGGGAGGCGCAGCTACTGGCAAATGCTTGGTGCTCGAGTAAGCTGGGCCCCTACCAGTGGCCCCAACTTTGCACCCTAAACCGCTACAGTCTTCCCCCGAAAAAAACACATGTATGTACTATTCAACTTTCCCTGGAAAACTCGATTTTTCGAAGTAGCTCCTGGAAATCTGAATAGTACGCACGTTCAAATAGTACACACCTGTGTGCTATTCGAATAGTACACATCTCTCTCTCTCTCTCTCTCTCTCTCTCTCTCTCTCTCTCTCTCTCTCTCTCTCTCTCTCTCTCTCTCACCTCCACGGAGTCTTCCCGCATGTGGCTGCAATCGCCGCAGAAAGCGTGATTACCGTGCTCTCCAAGGAACGAAGACACAGCTTGAAGTAGTGCGGCCCGAAAACGGGATCACCACGTGCTCCAAGAAACGACAGGCCGAACTGCTCCTCTCTCTCTCTGTCTGTGGATTCCCTATTGCCGTCTGACGTGGAGGCCTTCTTGTCTACGTACAGTCTCGCTCCACCCCTCTACACGTGAAGGATGTATACTTCCATTGTCCAGAGGAAGATTCATTCTGGAGACTTTTTTTTTTTTTTTGTTTTGTAATGAGGACCATTTCTCAATTTATGTGTCGTTCGAACTGTGACGGATGCCCCAAAAGACGGGCCCGTGGCTACAAGGGCGTATACGGGATTAATTTTGGGAGCCCGTTTCTGAAGTTGGTGCCCAAAACCCTTAGCATAAAGCACGTGCGTTGTATATGAATTCAACACACGTCGTGCGTTGTATTCATATACAACACACATGCATTTTGTTTGGGGGAAGACTGTGGGGCAAGGGGCAAACATGCAATTACCTCTCCCTTCGTCGAGTGAGGTACGTTGCTATGCTTGCAGGGGTTCCCTGTATAGCCTTAGGAGTAGTGTTCCTGTTTGGATAACAGTCACCGTGCAAGCCATTTGCAGCTCTGGCTGAAATTGGGAAAAAAAAGGGGTGTTCTTAGCACCAAATAGCACGGTTTGCAATATTTTTGAGCTTCAAGATCATTAAAAAATTGTGGTGGAAACTTTCGAGAAGGGATTCACAACCCTGAAATTTTGCATTCGTCAACTGCGCTAGGTGAGGGCACTAAGGAAGCCATTAAAAATGATGAAGGGGAAAGGGTAGACCACAAGGGGCAAGGGAAGGGAAAGGAAGAGAACAAGCTCAGGCCATAACCATCAAACAGGTGAGCTGCCAATGCTTTATAGGATTGATCAGGACATAGAGGATTCGGAGCTCGCTTCAGCAGGATGGGGATGGCATATTGTATTGAAAAATGGGGGAACCCGCAGCGATCAATAGAGGGTATCATCCTACTTTGTTCAATGCATAAAGATGGCTTAAGCACGTGCAAATTTTGTTGGAAGTTCTGAACATCTGTCTTTGAGATATAATACTTCCATCCAATATCAGAAGGTTGGAGGATTGCAGTGGCTCTTGTGCGATCATGCTGTGAGAGTAGATGAATGGCTGGACCAGAGAAGGAAAGAGAGCCTCAGACAGAAGAGCCCCCGTTATGCCGATTGTGTGACTTTAGTGTTCACTGTTTTGTGGAATGCCAACACAGACAGATTCTGGCAACATATCAACAGAGTGTGGGGGAGTATTCAAGCTGGCGCAGATCTTAAAAATAAACAAATGTCTGTGCACATTGTAGAATTGAGACTCGACATCTGTTTGAGGTTGCAGGGTGTGTTTGATTCTGTTTAGGGAGACAATTTATCCCAATGGCCATCATCACTATTTGACTGAGAATCGAATTGTGATACTTTATTGTCACTACAATTTTTCATCTGCTGAAACTAATTCAAGTGTGGCTGTCTACATTGCTTTTGTATCAGGGGAACGGTTCGCTATGCAAGTGTTCATGCCCACTTAGGACGCACGGGTAGTCGAAGGGATGACTTGGAGTCATTGGGATACACCCTTGTGTTCTTGCTTCGAGGGCGGCTCCCATGGCAGGGCTACCAGGTGAGAGACTACACAATGTCGACTCCTCTGTCTGTAGATCGGGCACCTAGCAGGTAGATTGGGTCTTCTTTCGAGTGGCTGCAGGGAAGTCGCTGTCCGTTAGTTGTCCGTGAGTTGTCGGGGAAGTTCCTTCCATGAAACAGATGTTCTTATCATCCTTGCGGTGCACTTCTGCGGTGCGCGTGCGCCATGCGCCCTTCGCAAATTAGTGATGTGGCGAGATGCGTTCAATTTTTTTTATTTTTTTTAATGGGGGTGCGTGTATACAGGGGGGTGCGTGTGTGTATACAGGGGGGAGGAGAGAGAGAGAGAGAGAGAGAGAGAGAGAGAGAGAGAGAGAGAGAGAGAGAGAGAGAGAGAGAGAGAGAGAGAGAGAGAGAGAGA